TTAGGTGGACCCTGGATTCTATTAAAAATACTTATTTTTGCCTCCCCATCTTTCCCAAATTTCCATCCAAAATCACACACAAGGTGACTAAGAATAATACATTGCAGGTTAAAAACAGAAACTTAATTGAAACTTAATATAAAAACAAATAAATTAAAATTATACATAGGGTTTCACTTCATTTCATGCTTTTATTCCAACTTCCAGAAGATCACCGAAAGTGGCTGATAATAACATATCAAAACAATACAATCATATCAAAAACTAACAACTAAACAATATGAGGAATGATCTGATAATGCAAACGCTATAATGATCTATCCCCTATGCAATTTAACTTCTACATGAAACCACGCAGTGAGGTTATTTGGGTGGCTGATCACACTCTGCTGATGATATCCAATTCTATCCTTTGTTTTCATCAAATCCAAGAGAGGCAATGGCTATACTGATCTAGTGCCTTGATGTGGTTATAGACTGGATGCAAACCCACCACTGCTGATGTCTTTTCAGGGGGTCAAGAGCCAGGGCCTGTTTTGAGAAGGCCTAGCAATGTGGGCACGATTCAGTGATGTGCCCCTTGCCCAAACAGAAAGGTAGAGGGAATGAGTGTTTGTGGGGAGAGAATTTACTTGCACAATGAACACACTTTCTAAAAGGTGCCTTTGATGTCAGTGGGGAAGGCAGAAAGCGGAGAATGGAGAAAGAACTAGTAGAAGGATATACAGTAGCACAAAAGGGCATTGACTCACAGGAACTGGAAGTCCTGGCATAGGCAAAGCTGAAGAAACCAGGGAAAACCCAGAATGCTCTGCAGCCTCAAGATATAATGTGCAGCAAAATTTCTGGAAACCTAGACCAGGAGATGGGTTGCTTGAGCCACCACACCACAAAAAATGCAAGTACAATCAAGGGTTTAAGTACCACCAAGTCTCTCAATGTCACTTATGGATCTGTGCACCCAGACCTGCCCCAGAGGTCCTCAGCTACCTTAGGGTGGAGGAGCCTGGACTTGTAGTCTTGCATGTGGAATCTACTCATTAGCTTCTTGGGGCATCCTTGGCCACAGGTATAGATGCAGTTCTGCAAGAATCCAGTCCGTCCAAGGATGTCCGAAACATGACCATGGAGTATGTGGTCTGGGCAGGCTGCTTCTGTGCTTGCTTGCTCAGGCAAGGTAGCCCAAAAGTGTTGCCTCAGATATGTTGAGGAAAGGTGACTTGAACTTGCTGAAGTTCTCCAGATTCCTTTGCAAAGCTTGTTCTTACCTGAGTCTGTATCAGACTGTGTGCTCTGTTCCTTTTCGCATGAAAATCTATACGTAGTCTTCCAAAAATATGCATATTTTTGAAATGCACTTATCCTTCTCTCATTGACTAAGAAGTATTTATGCATATTTTTAAAAATTTGATTTTTCATGTATACTTTTCAGAAGTACGCATTTTTCAAAGGTATGCATGTACTGATGGCGGTGGGGCACAAATCACTTTGCAAGTTCAGGTATGTATGGACTTTGATCAGAGATCATATCTAAGTCCATATTCAGTCCAGAAAAAGTGAACTTGGTAAAATCTTGCTTTTTAAAAAAATGAAATGACTTTTTCATATACCCCTGGCTAACCAATGGGAGCATAATCCTGACAAACAGAGGTGCTAAGTGAAGAAGGAATTGGACTCTGGCAAAGGTTTGGGGTAATACTTCCCCTGAAAAATCAGGCCAGCAGTTGTGGGGTTTGATCTTGGATTAGCTTTACTCCTGGAAGGTCACTCACCTGTCTCTGTTGTTCAGGTGCAAAATGTTGCTGGCAACTTCAAGGCCCTCACTTTGTTAACTTTTTATGATCCTTTGTTTACACTGGATTTGGATGGGGCCATCTTCAAATACAGGAGAGCCTCTGGCAACCCTTCAGAAAGAGGACAGCCCTCTGTGAGCAGGACACATGGCCACCCTAGGCTGGTAGATCATCTGTGCTTGTTCCCAAAGAGACCTGATCTAGCCATAGTGCACTCACGCTGCTTGGGACATCCAGGTTGGATCATGGTAACACGGATATCTCAGAAGGGCCTTTGGAAACTTCAGCTGCTCCAGAATGTTGTTGGGTACTTGCTTATGTTACACCAATCCTGAATCAGCTGCTTTGGTTAGTAATGAAGTTGGACTGGGCACGGATCAAAGGCCGGTGATTGCTTTTAAAGCCCTCAGTAGTTTAGGAGGCCTGACATATCCTTTTACTTACTTTCTCAGCTGAGACAGAAGGGCTCTTCTTTGAATCCTATCTAGGATGGACATTTGAAAGAAAAAAAGAGACGGCTTCCTCACTTGCTACATCCAGTTTATGGTATGCCTTGCCCCATGAACAGAACTTTAGCCCAAATTACGGGATGCTTTTCCTCATGAAGACATTCTCCCCACTTCTTTTTCTCCCTCAACTTCTATTTTTTCTCCCCACTTCTATTTTTCACTGGTTACCGAAGAATGTTCTAAACCAGTAGACTTTTGGAAGCTTTTTTTAAAAATCGGTTTTAAATGATGACTTGTGTCTTTGGTTGTTTTGTTTAGACTGCTTTTATGAAATTGCAATTAGTGTCCAAAATGATGTAGTTCTAATAAATTCATAAATGTTTTAATACTACAAATAAATAATGCTAGAATTGGCCCTGCTTCTAGGTGACTGACAGAACCACAAAAGATTGAAGAAGAATTTGGAAGGAATTTGGCAGAACTGCTACATGTTACAGCAACTAACAATAGTCAACACGCACATATATATTTAAATAAGACTATCTGGCTTTCCTCTTTGACCCCAAAGCTAATGAAAGTTGAACACAGCATTAGTTACGTAATTAGATACCTAGTTCATATTTTATTTGCATATAAAGTATGCAAATGTTGGCACATATCTGTAAATACCTTGAAAGTCAAAACCAAAAACATTCAACGTGACTAGCTGCAGCTCAGATAGTTTGAGCACTTAAGGGCACAATGCTATGCATGTATAAAGAGAAAAAGTTATGCTGACTCGCAAATGCTCAGAGTTGTAGGATTTTTTGCTGCCTAAGGGCACGATCCTACACACATTTGGACAGAAAAAATGGCCCATAGGTCTGGGCATTCCCAGCCAGGGGAACTTGCGGGGGCATGCTGAAAATAGAAGTCCTTATAGGATTAAACTCTATGATTCTTTCTCAGGGTATAATATTTATACTCATAGAAAAACTGTATTGGCTCAAAACACATCTTTCTAGGGAACACAAACACACTCCTGCATTATGCCTTTCCCTTTGGAATGTGTGACTGTTGCTGTAGCCCACATCTTTGTGGTGTTTTGTCTTCATTAATTTGACTCATGGGGCTTTTAAGAATTTGATTTAAGCATGATTTTTGAACAAAATATGGGTATTTGTCTGAGAACCTACTTGAAAATAGTAGGAAGTTAGCAGTACAGTTTCTCCTTGTGCCCAGGATTTCAAGCTAAGTGGCTACCTCTGCATCATCAGAAACAAGGAAATGCATCACTGAAAAAGACAACATTGCTTGGCATAAAATTTGCAAATGCTAATTTATTCATATAGGAACATATTTAGAAATACTGCAGTTTAAATAGAAATGTGATACACTTCTCCAGAGGGGAAGAAAGCAAGGCCAGGTTAGCTCGTCTGCCTGCTATTCAGATGCAAACCACCTATGGGCAACTTTGAGGCTTTTGATCTTCCTTCTTATGGTTTTTAATCTTTGATCAGAATTTGGATTGGATAGCCCTTCAAAGAGTGCAAGCCTCTAGTGAGAGCTGTCCAAGTCCTTATTTAAAATATCTCACTGTTGAGCCAAGCCACTTTGCAAGCTACTTAACCTTAAACAGCCTCCCTTCCTTGCTAGATACAACATGGCTGGTGTAAACATATGTAATTCAATATAGGCCAACCAGTCTGGGCAGCAACCAGACAACAACTTGTGAAGTGTTTTCTTTCACTAATTCAGGGTGTGGTTTCCCCATATAATTTGCACAACGTTGCAAGCACCAATTTAGAATAGTGATAACCAAATGGAAAAATAACGTGATGTAAAAAGATGAAACCAGAGAAGGTATATATTTATCTTCCATTTGAGGATATCAAGATGGACCCTCACATTATGCAAAAATATTGCTATTATCAGCTTTGATCAGTATCAGTGCAGAATGAAGCCCAACTGAACATTTTAAGCATGTGCTTAGCTCTAGTTATAGAGACATAACCAAAAGGGTGATAAAAGAAGTTATACAGTGGTTATCTCTAATATATTGTTACTCAAAACAATAATCCATTTAGTCTTCACAAAGAATATTATCAGTTAAGAAATTGACACCAGCTAGAAATGGAAGGAAATGTAAAATGTAAATGAAGTTTGCTGGACAGATGATTGAAAAGGTAAAAGGCATTGCAGTGAAATATTAAAACACACCACTTCATTATTTGTTTTAAATAATATTCTGTCACACACAACTGGTGCTAGCTACTCTATATTATTTCAGTATTATTGTACAAATCCTACTCAACTGATTTTCCAAATAACAGGGAGCTCAGAAATTCTGGAGCTTGGTTAGGACCTGATTGCACTGAAATTCATATGAACTTTGTCCATGCAGTCAATAGGAAAAGAATTTCTCCATAATTATGGTTTCTAGAATGAGCAAAGTGTAACCCAAGCATTAAGACAACGTCTGCATGTATTGCTACTAGAATAAGATTTTCATTGTTTGCATTGCTTCTGATTGTGCAAAAAATGTTTAAAAAATTTCATTTTTAAAAAATGAAAAAGCTGAAAGATTTGTTTATGGCCACCTTTCCCAGCCTCATCCCCTGTTAAAGTGCAGCTCTCATCATCCCCACCCAAAATGGCCAATTGCCATGTTGGAAGGCACCAAGCTGGGGAAGGCTCTGATACATACAATCAGCAAAAAAGCATCCTCCACATTGTACAAAGGGAAAAAATAGGCTCTGAACAGCAATCCTGGACTTACCTTTTTGCCCCATTTGCTGATCTGTGCATCATTTTCATCTGAGAACTTCTGCATCCTGAAAAGATTTCCCTCTTTATCTTTTCTCAAGTAGCTACCAACTTTAAGGAGCTTCAAAGGAGCTTCATTTCCATGCATAAGATCACTGATAGTAGAAGTCGTTAATTTCTCAACCAAAGAACCAACAAGCTGATGCATTCCCAGCACAATTTGTTCAAGCCCATCTAACCTTTTGGCTTGCTGGTCAGAACTTGTGTTCATATCAGAGAGTTTCCTGTTGATATCTGTGCACAACATCTCCATATCAGAATGATGTGACTTTTCAGAGGCTACGGTGGATAGTTCGACACTTGAGTTCCTCTCTCCTCCTTTCAAGAGCTCAATATATTTTTCTACACAGCAGAGTTCCTGTGAGACGCAATCCAACTTCTGAAGAACATTGTCTTGCACTGTCAACAATGTGGTTATTTTCTGATCCAGGGAAGCAACCTTCGTATTGAGCACACTGATGCTTTCAGAAGAGTTGTCATTCTCACCAGAGAAAGAGGGAGCAGGTGATGGCTCCTCTTCACAAGATGGACCGTGGCTCTGTAAAGCATTAGGGTCAAATAATTTGGCCAAGGAGTTCACCAGTGATGGAGAGGCTGCCATTTTGCTAGAAGTTAACATTGCATCTGTTTACAATGCACAGATGGTGGATGAAACGTGCATCTTCAGAAGCTTTCCCACCCAGTTGCCTAAGGAGTCGGTGCCTGGTTTGTTTAATCAGGCTCAGTCCATTCAAACACGGTTCCAGAAGTTCAAGGGTGATAACCAGAAGTGTTTGGAAGAAGAACAGCCCACCCTCTTCTTTTGAAAAAAGCAAGGTAAAATATAGTGACGGCCGAAGCAGATATTTGCCAAGTATCCTAAATGCACCAGCAGTCAGTGACGTCAGATGCCAGAGAGGGCAGAAGAACGATTTGCACTGAAGTGGAATTTGACGCCATTGAGGCTACAAGAAACCCGAGAAGCCAGAGATGTGAGAGATACATTGGCAGTAGTGTGGCTGCTTGTGAGAGAAATGCATGTGGTGTACAATTGGATCCCTGATCCAAACAAAATAAGAAACTCCTAAAGTGGAAGCTAATTCTGGGGACTTGAGATTTTTACAGCTTAATGCTAATTGTTTGGATTAAAGAGCCAGCTGCTTTGCAAAACAAAAACAAAAAAAGTGCTGAGAATTTGCTGTCAAGGCTTGTACAACAGCCTTTTTTCTCCTTCCTCTCTGTTCAGTGATGATTACTGACAACAGCCACATTCAAATGGCAGAAAAGCATTTTCTTTTCCATTTATTTTCTTTGCTGCCCACTCAGGGTAGCTACGAGTAACACAGTAAAAATTGCATGGAGAATTCCATCAGAGCAAAATGAAATACGTAACGTTCTTGATATAAGAAGCATATAATGACAGTAGTCACAGGAAAAAACAGTTGCTGTTTCTGAACTCTTTTTTTTTCTTTTGTGGTTGTCAGCAGATGCTCTTGCATAGCAGTTTAAATCTGCTGAATATAAACTAGTCATGTTCTGCACAAAACATCTCCATGGCCTGAGTAAGCTATGAGATAACTCTTGGTATCATAGGTTACTTGACTGGGCTCTAATCCAAAGCTCTGTATATCATGGGCTGAATATAGCACTCTAGTGTGATCAAGCTTCCCACTGACTACAAATACAAATAGATTCCTCTGCCATTGAAGTGAATGGAGAAGCCTTTATGTGTTTAGGCTACCTTACAATATTGAATGGAACACACACATTCAGTGTGACTCAACCAAGACTAAATAGGTGATTAGCTAAGAAAGGTGCCATTTCTAAAATATAGATTTACCTTTCCACAATGGCATGTCCCTTTGAGTAGTGCTCCCATAGCTGGGAGAAGCATCTTTCAACAGCACTTAGACAGCAGTGGCAGAGCCAAAGTACCCAATTCCAGTAGCAACTCTGGGCTTGTCTACACAAGGTAGACACTGCACACTCACCATTCTGTACTCACAGTTGTTAATAGGTTCTTTGGACAATGTCGTGACCTTCCAGTTTCCTCTCTGTGTCTAACCAAGTGTTCTTGGTGATTCTTTTAAAAGCAGGAATTGAATTGTTAAAGCAAAAGAAAACCTGTTTTTGTTCTTATGCATTTCTGCTGTTCTGCTTTGCCAGCATGCCACTTACGAGATGCATACCCGAAAAGCAGGAAAGGAAGATTGCAGTTTTGCAGTGGATTAATGGCCTTGTGTGGAAAGGCCTGCTGTCCAGGATGCCTGGAGTTGCAACTCTTGGACTGGGGCTATAAAAAGAGCCCTGATCTGCCACAGCAATGTCATCAGTAGGTGTGCAGTGACAGGGCCAGGCACCAAGGATTCCAAATACGACTGATCTGTGCAAGGGCTGGAGGAGAGCACACAGCTGGCTCCATCATGCTTGTTTACTCAGAAATGAATCCCATCTTCCAGCTGGGCAGATTCCTAGGTAAGCATGATTAGGGTTCTTGCCTTAGGAACAGCCGGTCTGTGCATTGGTGATCAGAAATAAGTTGAATGGTAAATTCTTTTCCAGGACAAGCAACACTAGCAGGGAGATGTTTACTTGGACTGAGGCAGGATTAGCCTTCCAGATTCCCAGGTTGGATCCAGATTTAGTCATATGCAAAGCAGACCCATTCAAAACACTGCAACTGTACTTAGTCATGACTAACTCAAGTCTCACTGATTTCAATGGGTCTACTGTGGGCATGACTAAATCCAGGGCCAACCCACATGCCATGTACTGCCATCACAGTCTTAATTACAGGGACCTCAAACCTGCTGTTTTCTTTTTTAGAAAACAAGACATATGAAATAAGATCACTCATCCTGCTTTGTTTAATTTGACACCTCGGGCTTCAAAGGTTTGAAGCTGTCTGCTCTCCACAGAGAGCCATTTTAGCTAACGGGTGGGATAAAATCTAATAAATAAATAAATAAATAAATAAATAAATAAATAAATAAAAATAGATGCAAAGGGAGCTCCACATGACCCTGTTGAATATCATTCTGTGTGGACAGTTCTCTGGAAAGCGCCACTTACGCTCTGGGGCCAGCAGCGGCTACAAACAAAATGTCTGATAAGCAACCCATCTGTTTCTGAGACACAGCTTTATCATGACTATAGGACACTAATTTCTGTCCTGTACAGCAAGATTTGTTCTGTACAGAACAGACAAGAGTAAAAATTAACACAGAAATATGGTTAGCATTGCCCCCACAATGCCAATTTCAGTGGCTTTGATTTAAAGACAAGGGAAACTGAATGGGGGAATTAAAAACCCAGAGTTTAGAGATCCCTATTTCACAGAAGGAATAATAAATAAAGCATCTCTGAAAAAACCACAAAACCCAGAAGCAGTGATGCTCTCTCAAGGAAGAGTTATGTTCCAAAATGCTTGGGGATTTCCAGGCAAGTTCTGCTAAAAGAATAGCTAAATCCTCTCGACACTTGGCCATCTGCAAAAAGCCTCGTTCGTCCCAAAGCACCAGGAGAGGTGTTTGCACCATCTGTAAAACAACACAGTTCCACAGGAGCATCCATCTCAGAGGCATTTGGGCTAGAGTTGAGGGATCCCCACCTCATGGGCTCACAAAGGATCTCAGAGGAAGGGGGTCACACAGCTTTCCCTCTGCCGGGCTTCTGGAGGCCAGAGGCCAAAGTCTGGTCGTACATCAACGGCTACAAGATAAGGTGGCTGGCATGGCGGACTCTGCAGCAGGGTTAAGAGGTCCCTTTAAGGAGCAGCTTTGGATGGGAACACAAAGGGCCTGAGAAAATGGAGGTGCTCCATTTTGAAGCTGCACTAAGCTTCTGGGTTAAGCTAGCTACAAAATGAGTTTGTGTGTCTTTGTAGAGCAGGGATGGGAGAGGTGTGAGAGGGCAGAAGGGAGAGGCCCCAGCACCAGATGCAGGCTTCTGGATGCTCTCACGCAACGCTCTGTGGCCTCACCTGCCCACCTCCACCCTGGCCCCATCCGGCTGCTCCCCATATCCTTGCTGTGCATGGAGGGTGCCCTCCTGCTCCCCCAGCTGCCCCCCAAAGAGGACTTGCATTATCAAAAGAAGAGGAGGAAGAGGCATTTCTATAAAGTGTGCACGTCCTGCTTTATATTATAGATGCAGATTTAGAAATCATCATCCTAATTTCAATTGCTTGCAAGAACCACTGTGCTTAGGGTGTTGAACTGGGACTTGGAAGATCCAGGTTCGAGTCCTCTTCCCACACCCCCACTGGGTGACTTTGGGTCTTAGTCTGACTTCCTTTGCAGGACTGTGGTGAGGATAAAATGGAGAAGAGAAAGAGGATTGTGCAAAGTGCCTCTGGGTCCTTGCAGGAAAAAAGGTGGAATATAAATATAATAAACAGAAAGAAAAAATGGAAATGCAGTGCATCTTGCCACAGAGCGGATGTCGGTTACCATGTCACCCATGTAGTTTGCTCAACCGGGACTCCAGGAGCTGTTGATGAGCAGCTTCCAAGCCCAGCTCTTCTTCATTTTTAAGCTGGACTTGGACAGGATAACCCTTTGGAAAGCGAATGCCTTCATAACAGTGGACAGTTCTCTGGCAACCTTGCAAGTAGAGGACTGTTCTCCATAAAGGAGACCACAGGAGGATTTCATTTCCCGATGAACCTTAATTATATATCACATACTTATTTCTGATCCTTTAGATGCAGAAGGATCCAACCAAGCTTCCTAGAATTTATGGCAGCTGGCATTAAATGTACCAAACAAGAGCTCAAATAGAAATATTTCAACTGTAGACGTTAACACTGGCCTTCTTCTGGCTGCATGCCACATATTGCAATACACTCTAATTTATAAATGGCTGTCACTGCATTCCCAGATACTTTTCCAAATCTTAATATTCTCAGTTTCCTTTATTTCAGAGGATGAATTCTTTTTCTTGCCTTCTCCCATTTTTAAACATGGATGCACTGGCCATAGGAGCCTAGGGAAGATTGCCACATATCAAGTCATGCCCTTGGTCCATCTAACCCAGCTTTGTCAGCACTGACTGGCAGCAACTCTCCAGGGTTTCAGGTGGGATGGACTCTCCCAGTCCTCCATGCCAATCCAGGGACTGAACTGGGACTTTCTGCATGCATAACATGTGAATGGTAGGTCTTGTTGTGAGGATAAACTGGTGAGAGGGATTAGCGAGTAAGCTACCTCAGGTTTTCTGGAGGAAAACTGTGGCACATAAATGTAACAACAAAATGAATTTGAAAAAGACTCCGGTTCTCTAAAACATGCTGCAGTGGAAACTCCTCCTGTGCATCCAGTTTCTTCCATGAAAAACTGGCCTTTTCCATGTTAACTTCTGAATGACATGGAATGTGGCTCTGAGCAGGTGCAGGCATGAGGAAAACACACAAGAATGCTGTAGCACTGCACTCTTGCATGTGTACTCTACAGTCATGGATACAGTTCCCATATTCACTCTTTTAATGCCCCACTGTGTAGCTGGGGGAATGCGCTTGACACTGCTCATTCAATGGGGAAGATTTTGGAGTTGTCAGGCTGTGTCCACATTCAGGGTTGGAGCTGCACTGCCTCCAGTGCTGGCTGCCACCTTCAGCTGTCATGATCAGTGCCAATGCAG